CTGGCAGTAATCCCTAATAATAAGGCCACTCCAACATATACCCAGTATACTACTCTAAGAATTCAGAATTAAATCTGTTGGAATATACTGTTATAATTAGGTTATTTCCATATTGGTAAAGTAACTAATTATAGCCAACTTTCATTTAACCTTTCTAGGCCAAGATACAGAAAGTCTTGGCTTATTAGAGATTCTCACTCCTTTTGCCTCAATTCATACTTCATACCTTCATCCTTATTCTTCCCCTCTTATTGGGCCTAGATGGAGCTGTACCACCCTTATTTTTCTTTTACTATTTCAATCAAGGCATTAAAATTTCAATCAAGGCACTAAAATATCTTTATTCATATACCTTAATTTGGAGCATGAAATGTTTTTCTTGCTCTTTTTTGAATTCTTTTTGAGTAAAGCCAACATTATTCCTAATCCATTCTGGAGGCCAATAGCTTAAAATAATTCCTACTTTCTCACATAATCCTGAGCAAAGGGTTGAGAAAAATGGGCATAATCTTGTTAAAGGTCCAAGATTCCTAGTGGACAGTGACTCCATAACAAATCTTAATTTATTTTTAAGTATTCTAGATATCCAACTTAATATCAACTCTTTGTTTTCATTTTGTCAAAGGCTCCTTATGCTATATGGCAAGTACTCAAAGCTGTTCATCCTACTTTAAATAAAACAATTATGAAAAGTGAACAGGCTATAAGATTAAAGTTTATAATTATATTGTTAACATTTACAGATGTAGATACATGGTAAAAACAAATTTTAAAAGTATACAATTACCACTTGTTATACAGAGAAACAAAATTTGCAAGCTAATTAAAATCTAACATTGATAGAAAAACTGTTCTGTTCACCTCAGTATATCTCTTATTCGCTATATGTAAAAACAATCTCATTTTTTAAATATCTTAAGTACATATTTAACAAAAATATTCCTTAAGAAGTTCCTTTTCTTCATCTCTCTCATTGTACCTCCCCAATACACCTTAAATAACTATGGAAGTCAGCCTCCAAGATGGCCCCCAAAGATTCCCACTTCCTGGTATTCACATTCTGTGTAGTTCCCTCCCACAGTATCAGGGCAAAAGAGATGGACTATCATTTCTCAGACTGGGTTATAAAAGACTGTGGCTTCCAGTTTAGGCGCCCACACACACTCTCTCACTCTTTCTCACTCTTACTCTCTCTCATCACTTATGCTAGAGAAAACTCACTGACATGTCTCGAGAACACTCAGGAAGACCTTTGGAGAGGACCACATGTTAAGAACTTGACACTTCCAGCCAACAGCCCATATAAGTGAGCCTTCTTGGAAACTGACCCTCCAACCCAGGTCAAGACTTCAGATGCAGCAGCCCCAGCTGAAAGCTTGATTTAAACTTCATAAGAGACCCTGACTCAAAAATACTCAATTAGGCTCCTCCAGGACTTCTGAGCCTCAGAAACTGTAAGCTAATACAAGCTTGTTTTAAGCCACTATGCTTTGGAATAATTTGTGATATCACAATGGATAACTAATATCCATGTTTCAAACCCACTGTCCATCTTTCAAAACCAAATTGCTATTTTTAAAAAGTTTTAAAAAATAATTTAAAAAATAGAAATATTAATTACAAAAATTGGGGAAAAATTGTTTTAAAAATCTTGGCTAATATTAAAAAGCAATTGTAATGTCAGCTTGCCAGTACTACTTGTAAAAACATGAACCAACAATGAATATACCATCAGCAGAATATAGCCTGTTTATGGGAAAAGAGAGATCAGGTTGAGCAGGTAACTTTAGGGTGCAACATCAACTTCTTTAAAATTGGTGAGGAAATCAGTGTGTAATTTAAAAATTACAATATCCTATTTAACTATGATAAGACATTCCACAAAGTCTGCTTTATCTGTTACTGATTCTAAAGTTTTTATCTCATCACAGACTATATCACATGCCTACTGATAAACATGTAAGAAAGATAAGGGCAAATGTACCAAATTTCAACAGTAGATTCCACTGCCACATCAAAGCCTAGAAGATTTTTTTTTTCTGAGACAGAGTCTCACTTTGTTGCTCAGGCTAGAGTGAGTGCCATGGCGTCAGCCTAGCTCATGGCAACCTCAAACTCCTGGGCTCAAGCAATCCTGCTGCCTCAGCTTCCCAAGTAGCTGGGACTACAGGCATGTGCCACCATGCCCGGCTAATTTTTTCTATATATATATTAGTTGGCCAATTAATTTCTTTCTATTTATAGTAGAGACGGGGTCTCACTCTTGCTCAGGCTAGTTTTGAACTCCTGACCTCGAGCAATCCGGCTGCTTCGGCCTCCCAGAGTGCTAGGATTACAGGCGTGAGCCACCTCGCCAGCCTAAATGATTTTTCTTACATGACGTTTCCACACCAAAGCCAAAACTTTCATTAGATCACACAAGCACCCTTCCCAAGGACACATAACATTTCCTATAATAACAAACATCCCTTTTAACAGATAATTATTTTCATGAGAAAGTGTACTTAGTACACACACATTTAGTACATAGTTGTGTATTTGAAAATATTATTCAAAAAGCAACAATAAAAGAAAAATATGGGAGTTTTTCATTTGTCTGGAAAAAGAAAATGTTGATTTCAGCAGTGGAATGAGCATATGCATTCCCAACACAGTAAAATCCTTTTTACCTTAAATGATTAATGAATAAGGTAATTTCCTAAGTTTCAATTCTAGTTGATATTGAACACAATAAATGAACACCAACACTGCACAAAGAGTTGAAGCAGCAGCAGCTGGAAGCATCATTTGATTCCAAGGGCAATAATTTAGTCATCAACAAAAGCAAAAATAGCTGATTTACACTTTGACATTCTTTAGCTTATAAACAGGAGAGACAAGCATTTGTCTATATCATTGTTCCCCATATCCTTGCCTGTTTCTCCAGAACAGGCATCCTCAAACTACAGCCCCAGGGCCACATACCCCCCCCCAGGACATTTGTCAGGCCCTTTGGGTGTTTGGGTGTTTTTGCCATTGCTGCCAGTCCTGCTTAACAGCCACTGGTCATGGGACCACAGTGCACACTCTCCAACGGTCTGAGGGACAGTGAACTAGCCCCTGTTTAAAAAGTTTGAGGACCACTGCTCCAGAACAAAGAAGACAAATTTAAATTACTAACTTCTCTTTCCTGAGTTACATAATTAAGTTTAATTGATGCTAATGATCTCCATTGATTAAAGCTTTTGCATCCTTTCCAGAATATTTAAAACCACGTTAAAGTAAAAAATATTATCTTCATTGGAAAATGTGGCCTTCCTACTGTAATACTGCTGGTATGTGCAAAAACAATAACGTATGAGATAAAATTTATTCAGTCATATTCAGGACATGCTTTTCAAGAACTGCCATAAGACTATAATCATAGGGCATTCCAATCCTGTAACATGTTGACAATGCAAAATTTTCAAGAAATTACTTAGAAAAGGCAAAAATGTGTGTTCAAATAGTCTTGCCAATGGAAAAAGATTTGAAAATTAATGTTCTAGTATATGACTGTCTATATTGTTTTCCAAGAAGCACATTTTTAGACTTGAATATTTTAAAACCACCTACTGAGTGCACACATAAATTACAAATATGCTAGTATTCAATTATGATTTCATATTACATCATGATTACATATTTAATAACTAAATTGATTAAGATGCTACATTTTCCTGTAAAAGCCTTCTGGGTAGACAATGTCTGGAATCAATCACCCAAAACTATAAATTGATCCACAATTCCCTGAACTGAGAGAAAAATTGGTTAAAAGGCACAACTAAAACAAGTTTCTGAAGTAATACAAGTAAGTCATGCTTATATGAGGCAGATAATTCTTTCCTCCATTCCTTCACATAGGCCAAAGATAATATTTTCAAATACCTCTGGTAAATCAAATGCCATTTTCCAAATCAATGTGCTCTAAATTTAGGAATCTATGGGATGTTATGTATCCAGGAACTTGGGGGGAGGGCAATAAACTTTTTTAAAACTTTCAAACGCAACAGAATGTAATACAAAGTGAAGCAATGTATTTTGTTTATATAACAGTATTTAAATGGCAGAAATATTTTAAAACAATTCATCTTAGTCGTTTGCTCCCTTCATTCTTTTGATTTTCTGAACTTTTAGTCTTTTCACCTAGACTCAAATTCTGACCTACCACATTCGGCACTTGTTTTAAAAATATCCTATTCTAACATGTTAGCTTAAAAATAGCTTTGCTTTCATCGTTCCAAACTACTTTTGAGCAGAAGTCTGCTCTTGATTGTAGAGCCACAGACTCAAAAAAATTAAAAAAAAACACCTTCTTATTTATTCCATTCTTTAAACCTCTGGAGAAACAAAAACTGGAGTTTGACTTAAAGCTATTTTCATTTCCCAGGAAAATGTTTCCTTCAGTTGCTTAAATTAATACAACCAGATGTGTGTGCAAACAAGCAGCTGAAAGCATCCCTGACTTACACGAAGCTACACCCCTTCTTTTTGGCCATCCAACACCTTCGTTTGATAGCCACTGAAGAAAAGTTTCTTCCTGCCGGTCGGGTTGGTAGGACTTTCTCGGAGCAGGCACAGCATGCCACCTGAATGCGTGCACGCTCGCAAGAAAGCAGCAAAGGCTCGGGGACAGGAAGGCTGGGGACACGCGGCACACGGCAAATGAAAAGAAAAACCCCAAGTGTTGGCTGGCTTTTTAAGCTGAAGCTTCAAATTCTGAGGCTGGGGAGGAACAAGCCAGGCGCTGGCCGCGGCTGCCTGGCACGACCCGCGCCTGTCCTACCTGCCTCGGGGACTCAGGAGGCAGAAAGCCCCCCCGCCAGCAGCCGTCCCAGGCGCCGGGCCAGGCTGGCGAGCGAGGCGGACGGGTGGGGCTGCAGAGGGGGTCCAAGGCCCAGGGCCGGGAAGGGCTCCCGGTGCGCCGGCGGGGAAAGGAGGGCGCCGGGGCCCCCGGACTCGCCCCCACCCGCCCCCCGTACCTTGGGCGATGGCAATGGACTCGAAGCGGTGCAGCTCCTTGAGCAGGCAGCTCCTTTCGGTGGAGTGCAGGCTGTAGATGAAGTCGCGCGCGCCCTGCGGCGTGTTGAGCGCCTCCATGGGCTCCTTCTTGGGGTGTGTGCCCAGCCCCCGGGGGCCGGCGGGGCCCGCGAGCGCCAGCAGCCCCCGCCCGCAGCAGCACCAGGGCGGCGGGTGGGGCGCGGCGGCAGCGGCGGCCGGGCCCGGCCTCAGGCTGCGCGCGGTCCGGCTGCTCAGCAGCGGCAGCAGCCGGGACATGGCGAGCTGAGGAGCGGGGACCCCCGCGGCAGTCTGCGCGGGCGGCTTCTGGCGAGGCTGAGGGCAGAAGCAGCTGGGCTCAGCCCGACCCCGCCCCGAGGTCCTCCTGACCGGCAGCCGAGGCGCCGAGCACCATGCACTCCGCGGGCCCGCGCGGCTGTCGCCTCCTCTTCCGTCCCCCTTCCCTTCCAAAAGGCCCGCGACGGTTCCGGCCCCTCCGACGAGAAAAACTTTCTGAGCCGGCCGGGCTCCGAGAGCTCCCGGAGAGGGCGGGCGGGGTGGTGCGGGCGGTGCGGGCGGGCGCCTCCCGGCTGAGGAGGAGCGGCGCGGGCGGGCGGGATCGGCGAGTGTATGAGCCTGTCAGTCCGATCTTCCAGAGGGATGAGTCAGCCAAGCGCCGCCCTCCTCCGGCGCCGCCCTCCTCTCCCGCCAGCTTTCTCACCCTCTCGCCTCCCCACGTCCCCACTCTGTGGGGTTCCCGAGCCCTCAAAGCAGCCGCGTCCTCAGGCCGCCGCCGCTGCCGCCGCTACCCCTAGCGGCCAGAGGAGGGGTAGGAAGGCGGGGAGAAGAGAAAGGGGCGAGGCTTGAGAGAGCCTGCGCCGGCGCAGTGGGTAGGGGAGGAGCCCGCGCTCGCCGCGTCCCCGCCCCCACTGGAGCGTGAAGGTGGAAGGAGAGGGGCTTCCTGGGCTGGTCTCCCGGCTGTTCATCCACCGGTTGGGGTGGGGAGAAAGAGCTTTGGACCCCCGCCCCCCGCCCCGCTCGGCTGCCAGTGCAGCTGCCACCGGGCCCGCCGCATCTGGAGCTCGCTCTGTGAGGTGCCCAGCGTGCGGCCCCGCTAGTCGGGACTGGCCGGGCGGAGAGCAGCTCTGCCGCCAGAGCCCAGCCCCTCGCCGGGTCAGCGCCCGCGCCCAGACGTCCGGCTCTGAGGCACCCGCTCGGGCGCTCCCGGGAGCAGGCGAAGCCAGTCCTGCCTCTCCCCAAGAAAGAGGGTTTGAGACTGAGACCTTGACGCGGAGAACAGTCCTCCCCTCCCGTTCTGATGCCAGCAGCTTGCATGAAGATGGTTAACGCTAGAGCAGGAGGCAGGAATGTCACAGACCTCTCTGGGCGGTTGCTTGTGATTTTGTACTTCTGTGTTTTGTTTTGTTTCTTTTTTTCGTCAAAGCCCAAGCGGGGGGGAAAAAAAAATCTGCCATTCTCCGCGACTGCCACGTGTCCAGGTCCTAAGCATCTTTCAAGGCCCAGGTCAAAGGGTCTCCTAGTTCATTAAACTTCCCCTTATCTCTTTCTAAGGGAGTTCTCTGCTTTATCTGAACCTGTCTAATGACACTTAGGCACCCTGTCTTAGAGAATAAATCTACTTAGAGAATAAATCTGCTCAAGTGTAATCAAGATCTAAATCCTTATATCCACTGCTGCATCCAGCCCAGAACTTTGTATGTAGTAAATGTGCTGCTATATGTAGGCATAATATGCAACTGTGAGTAAAGGGAGGAATGCAATCACTAAAACTTCCTATTTCTCTAACTCTGTTTCTCAAAATGTGTCCGTGAGCTTTTAGACATGTGAAGTTGTGGACCTCAGCCCAGACCTCCTGGATCAGAAGAGTGGGCAACAAATGCTTTAGATAGAAGGGGGTGGAAACACAAAGTTGAGAGGGGGCGAGTATTGCACACCTGCAAGGCCCTGCACCCCCAGTGAAGCCGGAAGCAACATCCGGCTTCTAGAAACTGTTGCTTGCTTGCCATGGAAACTGTTGCTTGCTTGCTTGTTCGGGCCAACTTTGCATTGTTCGAGCCCCTGTATAGTGGGGCTACCAGCCACCCAACCATGTTAAAGGTCAATCCATGATCCACTCGTGATCAGCCACTGCATAGCGTATGCACCATAGGGATAAAAGTCACGCTGCAACCCCGGTGGGGGTCTTTGCCTACCAGAGTGGCCACTGCGTTGGTGCTCAAGGCTTGGACCCTGGCTAGCCAGAAAATAAACTCCTCTTGTGTGTTTGCATCCTCGGTGTCTCTGTCTCTCTGTGGGTAGGGTGGTGAGAGGTAGTCGACTCCCAACAAAGTGACCTTTAAATATTAATAAGGTATGGATCATAGTACATTTAGATTGGTAGTATGTCATCCCTAAATTGGACACCTACTGGTGATACCCACTGTAAATCATGTAATGTCTGCCTAAGAAAAGTAGATAAACCCCAAGCTAATGGCAGCTGCAGTTATAACCAGACACACTTGCCCCTCATCTCTCCAACAGAACAGATGTATGTTGGGTCCAGGCCCCTACAATCTGCTGAACCATATTGCTTATCCTCCACTCTGTTCCTCTAACCAAACTGTCTGCAGAGAAGACTGGCACTGTAGAAAGGGCTAGGACATATAAACATTGCATAAAACAGGATTTAGGTACTACAATCCTTCAGCCTATCCTAAACTTGTTACCCTATCGCTTTCTTGCTTCTCACTCTGTTTTTTATTTGCTGGTAAACTGTTTGGGTGACTATTGCTGCTCTTTGTGTGAACACATTATGCTAAAATTCAGTGGTTTAAATAGCCAGTTTATTTTGCTCTTGATTTTGTGGCTCAGAAATCCGGGAAGGACTTACTAGGGCAGTTCTTTCATGGAGTCTTTTAGGTAGTGGCAATCAGATGTGAATGCAGCTGCTGTCATTTGAAGGTTCAGCTGGGCTGGACATCCAAGATAGCTCACTCACGTGGTTGAAAGTTGATGCTGGCAGTTAGCTGCCTGGAAACTCAGATGGGGCTGTGAACCAAAGCACCTTCACACAGACACTCCAGCATGATGAACTTCTCACCTGGCAACTGGCTTCCCCCAAGGTTTGACCTCTCAAACCTCTAGGATTATGACTTTGTCTGAAAAGGACTCATCTCATGGCCTTTTCTAACCTATCTTGGAAGTCATGCAGCATCATTTCCACCATACTTTATTGGCTGTAATAAGCAAGCCACTAAGGCCAACCCAGATTCAAGGAAGGGGTATAGACCCCACCTCTCAATGGGAGTAATGCCAAATAATTTCAGAATGTGTTTTAAAAGTACCACAAAAACAGTGTGATTCCAGCTTCTTAATTTGGTCTATAAACACATCTGTTTTGTGACCTCTGGAACAACCTGTCTGGTGGTATACTTGGAGGCTACCATTGCATCAAGATAATATCCTAGATGATATGTGCCCTCTTGGAATCTAGATGGCACATAAAGAAGTCTGAGATATCCTGCTAGAAAGACCAAATGGAGGAGGAGGCCCCAGCCAACAGCCCAGCTAACTGCCTGCTAACTCATCTGCATGAGGCCATCTCAGACCATCCAGCCCCAATCGAGCCCCAGATGACAGCATTGCAAAGCGATTGAAAGCACTAGCTGTAGACCCATACTGCCTGCATTTGAGTTTTATGCTACCATGTATTAGCTGCAGAACCTTGAACTAAACAAATCAACCTTTCAATGGTGGTTCATCTGTTTCATGGGAATGAATACATGTTGCTCAGTTTGCTTATCTGTTAAATGGAGATGAGGGCCTCTGCTTTATAGGGTTATAATGAAACCAAAGGAATTAACACATGTAAACATTTCAAACAGCACCTAAAACATAAGCACTCAGTAAATAATTTGCTATTATTATTTAAATTCCCATGGACCTCTCAAACCTCTAGGATTATGACTTTGTACCTAATTTGAAAAATACCCACCTACCTATCATTGCATACATGGATGTATATTAACCGGATCCCCTATCTGCTTCCTTCTCTGAACACCTGAGTACCCTAAATTTGAATAAATGGAGGAGATATAGAGGAAGAGAATTTGGGGTCTGTTTATGGGGCTGTGGAGAAGTAGAGGATAAGGCAGGTTCTAGATGGAGTAGCAAAGGGGAGGGTCTAAGGAAATATGAGAGTGCTGAAGAGGTAGCGCTGGCAGGCTGGAGAGGGTTAAGAAATGGAAGACAGGGATGGAGGGCCCAGAGGCAAACTTGGCCTGGGCTCATCCCAGTCTGCTCTTCACTTTTAAGATGACAAACATCATACCTCAGTTATGTTAATCACAGTCTCCTCCTCATGAAAAATTGCTGCTGAATCATCAGTCCATGGTTAGCTGCATCATATAACTACTCTCCAGATTTCATGGCATTTCTGCTGCTGGCAGGGCACAAAGTTGTTTGTGCCTACCATTTATGATATGTTACCGCACCCAGCTATTGCCTTCCACTTGAAAATTCTTCAAATTGTTGCTTTACTTAGTGGAACCTTTAATCATTTCTTCTGCCTACATTTTTGCAGTTTCCTTATTGTGCTTCTCATCCATCAAGTTCTTCCCTTAGTATTCTGACCCATGAAAGGCCCCTATTCTATCAGGATTATAGCAAATAAAGTGCTGCTTCACAAGAAAATCACAAAATCTTATTAGAAAAGTTAAAGAATACTTAAACAAATGGAGGGAACTACCAATTCAAGTTTGGAAAACTCAATAGCATAAGATGTCAGTTCAGCCAGGCATGGTGGCTCACACCTGTAATCCCAGCACTTTGGGAGGTGGGAAGATCACTTGAGACCAGGAGTTTGAAACCAGCCTGGACAACAGAGTGAGACCTCTGCCTCTACAAATTTTAAAAATCATCCAGGTATGGTGATGCACACCTGTAGTCCCAGCTACTTGGGAGGCTGAGGCAGGAGGATCCCTCAGTAGTTCCAGGCTACAGTGAGCTATGATCACACTGCACTCCAGAGTGAGCAAGACCATGTCTCTTAAAAAAAAAAAAAGATGTCAGTTCTCGCCAAATATATTAGTCAGGGTTCTCCAGAGAAACACAACCACTAGGATATATAGAAATATACAGAAGGAGATTTATCATGAGGAATTGGCTCACATGATTACAGACACTTAGAAGTCCGGTTGTTACTGTAGGCAGGAAAGTGAGACATGAACAGAGAAGGTACAGGACAGGACATGTAAACAAATGGGATACTGACCACGAAAACACATTGCAAGATAAGGGTAACTGTATCACAAAATGTTAGTGTAAGAACACTAACATTGAAACATGAGTGAGACATGAGTAAAGTGAGACATGAGTAAAAAAGTTACAAAAGCAAACAATGTAAACAAACAGTATCCTGAGTAACTGTATATATATATACTGTAACAATAACAAGATAAGAGTAACCACAACTATCACAAGAAACATAACAGAAACAACACAGGAAATGTTACACATTATAGTTTCCCCTTCCACAGTGGGCTTTGTACACAACACATGTGGGCCTAACTATATAAGCTGGAAAACTCCCTGGCCTGACAGCAGGAAGGAGACCTCTCCCATTGGTCAAGAAAAATTAAAAAAGAGAGAACGTCATTAAGAAGGAGAAGCCAAACAAGAAAAAAAAAAAAAAATGGATGGCACAGAGAGCCCAGTGTCACCATCCACTGGGACTTGTGCCAACTCCTACCCCCACTTCTGGAGTGTACCTTCACTTGCTAATCTTTCTTGGCAGTCTGCCTCCATGACTGGAAGTATA